AGAAACTAAATCTGTCGCAGAAACTATACCTCTCACTTCAGAAAGCTGCTATCTTAGGTAAGTTGTCATATAGCACGCAAGGTCCTGAATGTAGCCAGATAGACAAAGAGAAACCAATAGTCACACTCGGACGCTTGCAGTATAATGCCGCGTTTGAGGCTACCACCTGCAGTAGCAGAGAATAGCTAACAGAAAACGGAATAATATAATAATTATAATAATAATGATAATTATAATAATTATTATAATAATAATCATAATAATAATAATATCTATAATAATAATAATAATAGTTATAATAATAATTATGCCGAACATTGGAGGGCCACGAGCATCTAAGCGAAAGCTGCTGGCAAGCGTTGTACACTCAAAGCTTCTCTATGCAGCACCAGTATTATGGTCCTCAGCACTTAACCATACACTACGGGCGAAGCTCTTGACTGCACAGCGCTGCGCGATACTTAGGATCGTATCAGCGTACAGGACAGTATCAACAAGTGCGGTCTTAGTCCTTGCGGGAGTTCCCCCTATAGATCTTTTAGCACAGGAAAGGGATATGTCTACAATCGTAAAAAAGAGCTGGAAGCAACACGACCTATCCGGGAAGATGCACACTCCAAGGAGACGATTCGGAATGAGGCAAGATACTTACTGATGGAGAACTGGCAGAGGCGATGGCGCGAGGACTCTGTCGGCAGGTGGACGTACAAATTAATACTAAAAATACCAAGTGGGTCGAGAGAGCCACGGAGAGGTCGGTTTTTTACTTGGCGCAAGCGTTATCGGGGCACGGCTGCTTTAACGCTTACCTGAAAAGATTTAGACTGCACGAAGACGAAGGGTGTAGATACTGTGATGCTTCTGTGATGACGCAAACCATACGCTCTTCGTATGCGAAAAATGGGCACAGCAGAGACGAACTCTTGCGCGACTGTTAACTCAGCGATAGCAGCAAATACCATGGTTCCACTATTGCTCAAATCAGATAAAAAACTGGAATCTCATTGAGTCTTTCATTACTAACATAATGAAACAGAAAGAAACAGATAGAAGGGGAGAATAGGAAACTTCACAACTTCCCTAGATGGCTAAATGGAATAAGCAGAATCGATTGTAGCTGAAGCCACAATAAAGGCGGCACAAGGGATCCCATCTAGATGGATAAAGCCGCAAGGTAGTACCGTAGATGGAACACGGCCTAGAAAAAAGAGGAGGCTTTAGTGAATAATAATAATTACAATAATTATAATAATATTAATAATAATAATAGATAATAGTAATAATTATAATGATAACAAATAATAATTACAATTATTATAATAATTATAGTAATAATAATAATAATTATAATAATAATTATAATAATAACAATAACAATTATAATAATAATAATAATTACAATTCTTATATATTATAATATTATAATTACTTATAATAATATAATATAACATAATATAATAATAATATAATAATAATAAATATAATAATCAAAATAATAATAATATTACAATAATAATAATAATAATAATCATAATAACAATAATAATAATTATAATTGTAATAGTAATAATTACAAAAATAATAATAAAATATAATTACAATTTATAAAAATAATAAGATAATTATATTAATTTAATAATAATAATATTATATTAATATAATAATAATAATATTATAATAATAACAATAATAATATAAATACAATAATTATAATATATAATAATCCTAATAATAATAATAATTATAATAATAATAATAATAATTTGATGCAGAAGCGTCACATGGATGGCTGAAGAGTGGGAGCTATTTTCGGAAACTGAAGGTTTCATGATTGGCATTCAAGATCAGGTGATACCAACCTTAAACTATAGAAAATACATCATGAAGAAGAAGGCATTGAAGATAGATGTCGCATATGCCTAAAACAAGCGGAAACAATAGAGCATATCCTGACGAGCTGCACTCCCCTAGCTTCCACTGAGTATCTGAAGCGCCACGACAACGTGGCTAAAATAGTTAACCAAGAAATTTGTTATGCTGCGAATATACTAACTGACCGCACCCCATATTACAAGTACCAGCCGACTCCAGTTATAGAAACTAACAGCCATAAAATATACTGGAATAGAACAATTCAAACAGATCACACCATGGAATACAACAACACCAGATATCGTAGTTCAAGATAAAATGAAGCAAGTTTACCTGCATAATTGACATTAGTGTGCCTGCCCCACTACATAGCTGACAAGCAGACAGAAAAGGTTCGCAAGTACTTACCATTAGCTGCAGAAGTAAAAACACTGTGGAATCAAGAAAAAGTTGAAGTCATCCCAATAGTGATCGGAAGCCACAGGAGAAATACCTAAGAGTCTACATAAATATATTGAGAAACTAAATCTGGCCGCAGAAACTATACCTCTCACTTCAGAAAGCTGCTATCTTAGGTAGTTGTCATATAGCACGCAAGGTCCTGAATGTAGCCACATAGACAAAGAGAAACCAATAGTTCACACTCAGACGCTTGCAGTATGAAGGCCGCGTTTGAGGATACCACCTGCAGTAGCAGAGAATAGCTAAAGAAAACGGATAATAATAATTATAATAACAATATAATAATAATATAATATAATAATAATAATAACAATAATTATAATAATTATTATTATAATATAACAATAACTAATAATAATCATAATAATAATAATAAAATAATAATATAATAATATATAATATTAATAATATAATAATTATAATAATAAATAACACAATAATTATAATAGTAATAAGTTAATAATTATAATAATAATGATAATAATAATAATAATAATAATAATAATAATAATAATTACAATAATTATAATAATAATAATAATAATAATGATAATAATAATAATAATAATATTAATTATATTATAATTATAATTATAATTATAATTACAATAATATAATTATTATAATAGTAATAATGATAATAAGTATAATAGTTATAATTAACAATAATTATAATAATAATCATAATTATAATAATATTCTAGAATTATTATTATTATTATTATATATAATAATTACATAATATAATCATAATAAATCATAATTATAATAATAATAATAATCATTCGACGTGACGGCCTGAAGGTAGCACTTGTCAAGGCTTCGGAATTAGACGCAGAGACACTTGCTGAAGGCGGGTTCGTATTGGCTGGGTGAACTGCAGGATACGAGAGCATGTAGAAGTGACGAGATGTCATAGATGCTTGGGATTCGGACATATTGCAAAAGGTTATGAAAAGCCCGAGAGGACGCACCGCTTGTTGGAATGTGGAGCCACAGGACCACTTGGCCAAAGCATGTCAAGAGGCCCCGAAATGTGTTACCTGCCTGGATATGGGTAAAACGATTTCCAGCACGCCGCCGCAAGTAGTTCTTGTCCGATTTATCGAACAGAATTGATGAGGTTAAAGACCAAGAACTGAGGTTCCTGCAAATAAATCTTGGGAGAGGAAGGGATTCACAGCACCTCCTGATGCAGGTCGCCAGAGAATAGAAATGTCGACGTTATTGGTTTTCTGTGAGCAATATAGGACGACAGATACTTCAACCTGGTACCAAGATGCACGGGGAGAGCGGTATACAAGTTTGCAATCCCAAACGTGAGGTCAAGGAATTCTGGAGACAGACCAGGGCTTTCTATGGGTAGAGATCGCGGGGATCCGTGTTTATAGTTTGCTACTTTTCCCCAAATGATTCTTTTTCAGAATTCAACTCGGAGATTTGTGCTCTGGAAGAGAGCTTGATGATTCTAGGAGTCCTGTCCTGATAGCAGGCGACTTCAACAGTAAATCCCCGGAATGGGGAGATACTAGGTTAGATAGAAGAGGTACTCTCCTGAGTGAAGTGGTGTCAAGGAACGATCTCACTGTGTTAACCAAGGAGGAAGCCTTACCTTCAGACGTGGTAATTGCAGGTTCTGTGATAGACATAACCATAGCAAGTCCACGAATAGCCAACGAATTCAATATTGGAAGGTATTGGAAGAGGAAACATTAAGCGATCACCAGTATATAGATTCACAATAACTGATGGCAACATCAAGAAGCGAGGCCTTTGCCTCATCGCCACCCTTAAAACGCCTTTGTGGAATACAAGTAGACTCGATGAGCAACGACTCGATAAGTTCCTTTTGGAAACCAAAACCTTTTTATGAGTTAGGCTGGGAAAGAAGACCTTGCTCCCTAGACAAAGCTGTGACCAGTGTTAGGCAGCAGATAGTTGCAGCTTGTAACTCTTCTATGCCAAGACGAAAGCTCCCAGTCTTAAAAGCGGTCGCTCTACTGGTGGAATGAAGAAATTTCTCGTCTACGCACCGATTGTCTAGCTGCTAGGAGGAGATACACCCGCTTCGAGAGGAGATCCTTTGCTACTGGAAGCCTGGAAGGAAACCAAGAGGGCCTTCAAAGAGAAATTCGTCTCAGTAGAAGGAAGTGCTGGAAGGAATTGATTACTCAGGTGGAGAGAGATACATGGGGTCTAGCATACAGAATCGTCACTAAAAAATTGGGGATTCGTTCAGCAGATCCCATGCTTACAAGATCAGGACTGGGTTAGCTTGATAATAAGGAATTTGTTCCCGTTCGTCGCGAGAAACCCAGGATTGGGTGAAAAACTGCCCACCAGCTAGTGAGGTGGGCTACCTTTTACCTTGGATGAACTCAGGGAAGCTGGAAGAGGCTGAAGCCTAAAAAGCTCCGGGACCCGACGGTATACCTAACGAGATCCTCAAGCGGATAATCGAAGTATACCCTGAAATGTTACTACGAGTTTTTTAATTTATGCCTTATAGAGGAAGTTCTTCGAAGATTGGAAAGTACAAAGCTGGTCCTGTTTGAGGAAAGGAAACAAACCCCTTGACTCTGTAACATCCTATCGACCTATTTGCCTGTTAGATACGATCGGGGAAACTCCTTGAGGAATTGATCCTACAACGAATACAAGCCCATATGTCACTTGAAAACGGCCTATCGGATAATCAGTTTGGTTTCCGCAAAGGTAGGTCTACTGTTCATGCTATTGGACTCGTAGTGGAGAAAGCAGGGAAAGCAATGGCTGTAGAAAGTTCAGGCACGGAAAAGGATTCTTGTTGCACTCGTCGCAATAGATATCCGAAATGCCTTCAATCCGCAAGATGGCACATAATCATCGATTCCCTGGCACGCAAGAAGGTCCCTTCCTACATATTAAGACTGATAGTGAATTATATGAGTGACAGATGGATAACCTATGATACGGAAACATGGTCGATGTGCGAGCAAATGACTTGCGGCGCACCACAGGGATCGAGGATAGGCCCTCTTCTCTGGAACGTTATGTATGATGATTTCCTACGAATGGAACTCCCAGAAGACACATCTATTGTTGGCTTCGCTGACGATGCAATTATGGTCTCCGCTGCCGCCAGTGTAGAAGTACTAGGAATAAAAGTAAATGATAGTCTGTCAAGAGCAAAGCGTTGGATGGAGTGCAGAGGCCTGCAAATGGTACTAGACAAGACTGAGGCTTTGCTCGTTACCGATAGGAGATCGTACCAAAATCCCGCTATCGAGATAGATGGCTACCGCCTAGAGTGGAAAAGGCAGATAACATACCTGGGTGTTGAGCTTGACAGGAGACTGAAGTTTGGCGCACACATCCAAAGGGCTACTCTAGGTGCAATAAAATGTGCGCAAGCCTGTCAAGACTTATGCCGAACATTGGAGGCCACGAGCATCTAAGCGAAAGCTGCTGGCAAGCGTTGTACACTCAAAGCTTCTCTATGCAGCACCAGTATGGTCCTCAGCACTTAACCATACACTACGGGCGAAGCTCTTGACTGCACAGCGCTGCGCGGTACTTAGGATCGTATCAGCGTACAGGACAGTATCAACAAGTGCGGTCTTAGTCCTTGCGGGAGTTCCCCCTATAGATCTTTTAGCACAGGAAAGGGTGTGATAATGCTTCCTTTCCGCAAAAAGTCCAGAAAAGGTGGAATGCAATGAAGATTCCAACTTTTCTGCACAATCACAGAAAGGGGGTTACCATTAGCTTCCGGTAGCTCAGTCGGTGGCATGAAGACATCTACAGGCGTGTAGCTGTGTGTCGACCATGGTATGGCTAGAGGATAGAAGAACAAACAGAACACAAAAATTTAACAGATTTTATTTAATAAAAAAAGCATTTTCATTACATTACAATTTTACAGTTTTAAAGAACAAAATAAGTTTTACATCTTTGGCGCTGCTATAAAACTATCAACTTATCTTTCGCTGGTCCATTTTGACTCGACTGAAGCGAGGATGGCCAGGTGCTTGAAGTGGAGGTCCCAGTTATGAGGGGTGACCTCACATACAGGGTGACTTCGAAGTTGAGTCATTTATTTTAACAGTGAGTAGATCTGATCAAAAGAAATGTTTTTTTCCTTTACCATTTTTCTGGTAAAATTAAAGTAACAAAGTTATATAGATTACCGCCCTGTCTCAATGATAATATCATGTGCTCGTGTTTGGCAACAACGGATATAATCCGCCTTACCGGTTCATCGCATCGGAAACAAAAAAGCGAAAGAATTTGGAACATGTTTTTACAATAAATTATTTTATTCAGTTCAGTTATACATACAGTCAGTGTCAGTCGGTTAGCGTGTGAATAGTGTCTGTTGCGTGGCTCAACGAAATAAAAAATGGCACATGTTTATGTGGATCGGTTTCCCAATCGAGTGCAACCAACCCCTCGTGCCTTTGTTAATGTAGTACAACGGGCTCGTGAATCAGGTGACTTAAGACCTCACAGGGACCTCACGATCAAATACAGGTCCGCACTGAAATACTTGTCGGGAGGATACTTTATAAAACAAGGTTAAAATTTTTTTTTTATTTTTTTTTATTTTTACACACATATTCTGGTTTATCTTCCTTCTACAATCATTATCTGAAAATTAATGACTCAACTTCAAAGTCACCCTGTATAGTGGCTTCAAAACCAGTTGTAGGCGAAGTTGAACTTAAAGGCGATGGCGCTGCCAGGCACATGCATGGGTGAAGTGATAGGCCAAGCAACGCAAAGTCAAAGACTAAGGCAAAGGGAAAGGGAAAGAGAAAGAGAAAGAGAAAGGGGGGTGGCCCCCAATCATTTTGTCCTATACGGACACACATTCTACAAAATTCTAGCACATGGTGCTATATGACCTTGTGCTACAGAGAAGAAAATTTTTAGCTCTTGGTTCGATCGGCGGCTCAAGTGAAAAAAAGCGCGAGGAAGATCGCAGATCAGGAACTCCGCATCAAGCGCCCTCCAAGCGGAAATTTTTCCAAGTAAAAAAGCTAGAGATGGGATTAATGAAATGATAATGAGAAGTGATTTAATAAATACGATCGGACGGTGATGAACCGTTACACTCGCCCCAACTTAACCAAAAAAAAATTCGAAGAAGCATTCAAGAATTTTTTTTTTACTAGGAAATTGAAAAGTTATCACGGAAGGACAAATGTACAACCATTCGACCAGATAACAAGTAGCAAAAGTAAGGTAGAAACAAAAATGTTAGAAAAGAATTGGAAGAAAAAGGGATAGCATCAAGTCTACCAAACAAGAGGGATGGTTATAGCACCAACTCGCTGAAAAGTACAGTGAAGTTGCACTTAAAAAAAACTATCATCATATGATGAACAACCCAAAACATAAAACATCGTCATACCTAGGACGAGAAAAATAATAAACCAAAAGCTTCAGCAGTAATCCAAGCACGAAGTGAGGAATCACAATGGCTTCCAAAATGCACGACTGACTACTAAAAACTTCAAAAACTAAGTAAGTACCTAAACCATAAGAGGTATTAAAAAAAACAGAATAATAAACTTTCTCAAAACAATTGCCAGATTATCTCGCAATACTCCAAACCCAAAAAGAATATCATCTACAGTGATATTTAAATGAATATCCAATATAAAAAAACAGTGCATTACTATTTTCAAAATATGAAAATCAAAAGAAATTAACAAATTCGATTAGTCATATAACAAAACAATTTACAAGTGCTAAACCAATGAAAACTTGATCACGAAGGTATTTTAATCAAAAAAGATGTTAACTAAGTGCAGTTCTGATTCCACAAAAAATTGTCGGGGCGCCCAGCAGTCTGTAAGACTACAAAATAATTCAAAATGTTTTCAGAGAATTGAAGTATATAAGAGACATTCATGAAATATTGAAGTAAGATTTTCAAAGTCAAAATATAGCTTAAGTTCAATCAATCAACTAAAATTCAAGACTAAGTTCAATCAAAATTATCGGGTCATGTGACAACATAAGAACCAGATCAGAAAAAATTCTGAAGTGCAACACAAGTGCAACTGTAAATCTAATAGTATTAAAATCATAAAGTGAAAGGAAATATCAGAGCTATATGAGCATGATTTTATAAAGAATTCTCAAAAAAAAAAAATACAAAAGTAAGCAAAATATTAAAAGTGTCATGAGTAATAAATGAGAAACGAAGTGAGCATATGTAAAATGCAAAATAGCGAAACGAAAATCACAAGATATTTTAATAAATCATGATACATGAGGATAATGCCGCAAGCAAAATTGTATGCAAAAGTCTACGATATATGTAGGTGCAAAATTATAGTTATAAAAAAACAATCTAGTGAACAAGAAATAGAAATAAATATGATAGGTAAGAATTCGAATTTGATTTAAAGCACAAATATGAGAGAAAGACAACTTTCTAGGGTCACCATAGGTGCACTCCAAAGCCCTAGACAAGAATGTCTACAGTCTATGGAATATTCTCATGTAGATCACTAATATCATCAGCGCACTTCAAAGCCTACACTGAGAATAACCATATCATTGTAAAATGAAAGTTAAGTTCAAATATGAAATATTACAAGATTAGAAAAACTGTAATAATTTACCAGTGTAAAGTATGAAAAGAGAATTACTATACTGAATCTATAAGAATTGGCGATTACTTCAAGTCAAGACAGAAATTGAAAGAAATAAGAAGTCGAAAAAAACTATGAGAGCAGACTATCAAAACAAATGCAATAATGCAAAAGCAAAATCACCAGATATTTCAAAATCTATAGCGAAACATGAAAGTAATGTCGCAAACAAGCTCAAGACTTAGCAATATGCACAAATGTGCACAAGGCTGAAAGCATATATGAAAAATCTCAAGAAGGAATTGACAATTACTTCAAATCAAATTGAACTGATTGAATTGAACTGAGACATAAATTACTATATAAAAGTGAGTTTTACTTATACGCCAGAGGTTTCAAGAGTTATCAATACGCACAGATTTGCAACTAGTCGGAAAGCATATATGACAAGTCTCAAGAAGAAAATAAATGCATATAAGAAAACACTTTCAATTAAAGAAACTGTGGATAGTACAAGACCCTCAAAGGCATACATCGCAACGAATCTATGTTACTATCCAGACTACAAATACTGTCAAAGTTCAAAACCACTCAAAAATATGTGAACAAACATCAAAGTTTGAACCAAAATCAATGTAAGTCTGTGCTCTCGAAGAAAGTTATGATTACTTCAAAAAGAGGATACTATCAAAAACTTCAAAAGTAATAGACTTCAAAAATAGAGGTACGTAAGTATGTAAAAGAAATTCAGAAAATATACGCATAAAAACATTATAAAATATTATACACAGTATTTGTCACATGATTTTGATCGGGAATGCAATTTAAATTTTGAGTACACTCAGAAAAATGAAATATTCAAAAGATGAAGTACACACATTAAATTGGAATCAGAAAAATTATTATGACTTGTAAATTTTGTAAATGGTGGACTGACGTAATGGTTCAAAAGGTTGGAAGAACAACGATGACAAATGTCCAAAGTAAACATTCAACTGCCTTTTACAGTAAATTAGCTTAGCAATTATCAAAATAAATTCTTATCCGTTCGCATCTGTACTAGGAAATGAATATAGGAAAACCTACTCGCTCCAATGTACAGATCGAAAAACTCGCCCCCTTCGATTGAGCGGAAATATGAGTATTGGACAAATTGTAATATTTCAAAAGGTCGAAGGATCAACGATGACAAATATCCAAAGTAAACATTCAACTGCCTTTTACAGTAAATTAGCTTAGCAATTATCAAAGGAAATTCTTATCCGTTCGCATCTGTACTAGGATATGAATATAGGAAAACCTACTCGCTCCAATGTACAGATCGAAAAAACTCGCCCCCTTCGATTGAGCGGAAATATGAGTATTGGACTGACTGTAATATTTCAAAGGTTTGAAGGATCAACGATGTTAAATGTCCAAAGTAAACATTCAGCTGCCTCTTACAGCAAATAAGTTTATTCATTATCAAAGGAAATTCTTGTCCGTTCGCATCTGTACTAGGAAATAAACATAGGAAAACCTACTCGCTCCAATGTACAGATCGAAAAACTCGCCCCCTTCGATTGAGCGGAAATATGAGTATTGGACAAATTGTAATATTTCAAAAGGTTGAAGGATCAACGTGGACAAATGTCCAAAGTAAACATTCAACTGCCTTTTACAGTAAATTAGCTTAGCAATTATCAAAGAAAATTCTTATCCGTTCGCATCTGTACTAGGAAATAAACATAGGAAAACCTACTCGCTCCAATGTACAGATCGAAAAACTCGCCCCCTTCGATTGAGCGGAAATATGAGTATTGGACAAAGTAAACATTCAACTGCCTTTTACAGTAAATTAGCTTAGCAAT